CTGCAGAAGAGGGAAGAAGAGAGAAGAAAAAGAAAAAAAAGAAAAAAAACCCACTTCGTCCCCCTGCAGAAGAAGAAGAAGAAGAAGAAGAAGAAGAGGGAAGAAGAGGGAAGAAGAAGAAGAGAGAAGAACCAAAAAAAAAAAAAAAAAAAAAAAAAAAAAAGCCCAGTTCGCCCAGTTCGTCTGCAGAAGAAGAAGAAGAAGAAGAAGAAGAAGAAGAAGAAGAGGGAAGAAGAGGGAAGAAGAAGAAGAGAGAAGAAAAAAAAATGGGTCTTTATTATTTTAATATTTAAATAATATTAAATGATTTTTTTTGTTTTTAATAATTTTTTTATTAATTTTTTAATAAAAATGGGTCTCGGATCAAGCCACGTCAGCATTTAACTGAGAAATAAACGGCCAAGCTAACGGAAGGTATAACATTGACACAAATTCGTAAGATGAGGTATGACATTGTCAATTTTAAAAGATGAGGTATTAAAGTGTCATTTGACCCAAACTTGAGGTAGTTTTTTGTCATTAACCCAATAATTTTTTTTAATTTTTTACTAAGTTTTTAGCCACATAACACAAATGTGGCAGCCACGTCAACACAAATAGGGACCCCATATTTGTCACGTCATCACTTAACGGTTTACTTTACAGATTTTCTAACAGATGTATGAAATTGAAATAAAATAATAAGTAAAAGTATGAAATTGAAATGTTTTAAAAATGTTGTAAGGAATTGAAATCGACCTTAAACCTGAGGGGGTAAAATGTAATTTACCTAACAATAAAAGTTGGTAATTTAGGTGGGCTTAATCAAATGGACAATGCTTGGGTACTCAACAGGGAGTATCGTAGTTGCTTACCATCCTATTTGGACCACCAAAGTTAAAGCACATGTCAAATAAAACCCTCTCCCAGCTCTTACTATCTTTCTAACCAAACACACCATTTCATCTCTTGTACTAATATCCAAACATTCATCTTCTCTCTCACTACAAGCACTGCTGCCACATCTCCACCAACCACCTCCTCTCATTTCTCTCGAAGCCATGGCAGCTTCACCCTCTTAAATTTCACAAAACCCATGAAAGATCAGATCCATCTTGCTAATCTTATGAAGGAAATTTCATCTATAAGAAAAAAATTATGAAGCAGGTTGAACATATTCAGTGAAATTTGGGAGAAGGTTGGTGTTTGGAACTGCCAAAGATTCCACTACGAAGAAGTCCGACAATGACGATGGGGTGTTGCCATGGCTTCCACGATAAAGAATGGGATAATTTTGGGGCCAAGTTTACAGAGAAAGGTTAGATGTCGGTGGCGCCGATAGAGAAGATGAGGTTCCCGGAGGCGTTGGGGAGGACAATGTTTATGGCGTTGATACCATGGCAGAAGCAAGGAGTAGTAAGGCATGAATGGTGAGGCTTTGAGGGAGAAAATGGATGTTTGGATGTGTGGTTAACATTGTGTTTGGTTACAAGTTTATTAAATTAAGGTTGTAACATGTGTTTTGTTCTTATTGGGCCACCACTTCATATGTTCAGTATCTTGGGTACTGACTAGTCAGTACTTAAGTATTTTCCTAATCAAATTGGTTAACGTTTTCTTCTTTGCATACTAAATGAATGTCCCTTTAATAATATATATTAATGTACTTCAGATTTTTTTAGGGAATTTGGAAAAAAAAAAAAAAAAAACTCTAGAAAATATATGGAATATTTGAAGTTAATGAAATACTTAATGCAAAAACAAGCACAGTACGTTCTAAGATTCATACAACCGACTTTAAGTAATATAATAAGACTTAGTTGTTGCCATTGTTGTATCACTTTAAAAAAAAAAAAAAAATTAAACTTGTATGAACTTTAAGTGATGGATTACCTTAGTGATTAGAACATTTTTTTGCATCTCACTACTTAATGGATTCAGACCCTTTTCACTCTCCTCATGCAGTTTAGAATAGTAATACTGTTTCAAATTGAAATTTCTTTTACCAATAAACAACTAAACAATTGGTCAGTGGACAAAATAATGCAACTTTTGAACAAATTGCAACCACTTGCTAGACGAAAATGGCACTGAGACTAAAACCCGGTGGTATGAGAGAAACCCTTCTGGTCAACACTCAAAATTGAAAGTCAAGCTACCACCCCCGCTTTGCTCTTTTAATACGCAATACAAAGAGGTATGATTTTATGATCAATCATCAAAAAATGAAAAATATGACGAGAGAGGATCCTCGCCGAGGAAAAGGATTGGTGGATTGGAGGATTTGATGGAAATGATCCGGAGATGATCCATTTTTTCTTATGAGATTCTCTTTGTAAGGATTTCGAGGATCTTCTAATTACATTCGTTCATCGTATATCGTGAGGTAAATTTTTATTAGATACTGTTTATAATCAATTTTAAATAAAAAATTTATAATGATTTTTGATTGCACGATATACGATGAATGAATGTGCTTGGAAGATTTCAAGATTCTTAAGAGGATCCTCCTGCAAATATGACTACCCTTTTTTTTTTTTTTTTTTTTTTTTTTCCATTTTTACTCTGCCCAGCTTTCTGACCAGTACAGAAGCAGAATATCTCTACCACGCCTGCTCAAACACCACCACCTTCACCCCAAACTCCACCTTCCGGTCCAACCTTAACCGCATCTTCTCCATCCTCTCCTCCAACGCCAACCGCTTCACCGGCTTCTACAATGCCTCCGTCCAAACCCCAAACAACGCCGTCTACGGTCTCTTCCTCTGCCGCGGTGATGTCTTGGGCACCGACGCTTGCGAAACCTGTGTTGCCATCACAACCGCCGAGGCCCCCAACAATGCCACATCGAAAGAAGGCTGTGATCTGGTATGACGACTATATGTTGGGGTACTCGTACGTGTCATTCTTTTTCACCTCGGACGACGAGCCTTCCGTGTACATGTGGAATACGCAGAACGTAACAACGAAACAGACTCGGTTCAACCAAGTGGTGGCGGCGAGTATGAGCGAGGTGGCCATAGAGGCTGCCAACGACGCCGACAAGTTTGCGCCAAAACAAACGAAATTCAGTGATCTGAATACGTTGTACAGCCTCAGGCAGTGCACGCAGAACCTGTCCGCAACTGTTTACGACCGCTGCTTTAGGATTGCCATAACACTATTGCCGTCTTGTTGTAGCGGAAATCAAGGGGGACGAGTTATGTTTCTGAGTTGTAACGTTAGGCTATATCCAACCGAATGAGGGTAAAGGACTCTTTTTAGCCCTATAGCTCATCAATAAATTATATTTTAATGAACAGTATCATACCATCTTCAATCGAGAAGGTTAAAGGAAACATAATTTATTATTTTAATTTAAAAACTACAACAATTTAAATTTAAAAACTACAACTTAAATATTAAAAACTACAAAAATGGTTTATTTCGTGTCTACATAAAAGACCAGTGAAGATCCCACTGGCTTAGTCATGGTATTCCTTGAATGCATAAATATATTATGCTTACCAACAAATTATAAGTGATTTGCAGGGGAAAATTAAAAGTGTGAAGCTTATTTCACAGTTTCTTCGCTAATAAACAAAATCCAAATGAGAACAGAGCTTGTTTAAAGGACAGAATGAGATTCAATCTCACTAGGGTCTTAAATATGTGTAAATCAATTGGAAGAATTACTGACAAGCATGCATATATGAACCCACACACCTATAAACTTCATAGTGAAATAGAAAGTGACTCATAAAGGTCATGAAACATTAGGTCATGGTAGAAACCCAATAGTCGAATGGACTCGTGAGAGCCGTGAGACTGAAGCTCATGGTTTGAGTTCCGATGGACTGGTGAGAGCCGTGAGACTGAAGCTCATGATATTTCTATATGAATCGAAATATCATGCACATTGGATCCACATAATTACATGCATTGGAAGCAAAAACGATTACCATCGTTTGCTTAGAAAGACCACCACTTTATCAGCATCTCCATCGAAATATAACTGAAGGCCGTGATATACACTCCAGGGGAACAAAATTCATCAACAAGGAAATCAATCAATAAATTAACAAAATTCCTACAAAATTAAGGTGGCATTTGATTTGGCGGTTCTTAATCTACACCTAACACAACAAATCCATTCAAAATCTCTGAATAAATTGCCGGGGATATTGGGGTTTCTGAGAAATCATACTGGAGGAGGGACCTTGTCCTCGAACTGGTTAGATATGGCCATCCAGCCGCTCCGAGCCTGATAAACTTTTGAGAGATCCGGCTCACTGTATCAAAATGTGGACCAGAGAGAGGAATCCAGAAGAGGTGTACCTGGTGTGAGTGGGCGAGTGGTGCTGCGACTGTGAGAGGCTGAGAGGAGTAGAAGAACAAGGAGATGGAGACCGAAGAAGATGACTCCGAGAAGAAGGCGAATTTGCAGAATTGGAAATAGAGGAGAGAGTGAAGAGAGAAGGCAGCAGCTGAGAGAGAGAGAGGAGAGGGACCAGAGAGAGAGGTCTAGCTGGCTGGCCAGCCTGTTGGCTTCATTCTTCTTTTTTAGTCCGGTGTGGTCTACGAGCTATTTAGCCTAGTTATTGATTGGAGACGGTTTTCGTGTTATTTCGAGCTATTTTTGATCCTCTAACCTTCTGGTTAGATCGGGTGAAGATGGCCTTAGGTACGAAATCTACCCCTTCTATGCCGAGAACGCCACAGTACCTGAGCCCGCACCAGGGGCTCCTCCTCCTCCGCCTAAAGGTAAAGTGAACAAACATTTAAAACTTTTTGGAAGACCCAATCAAGTGAATATTGTATTATCAGATTAGTTTATTGGGTAGTTGATAGCTATTGTGCACTTTGGAACAGGGGAATATGGTGTTGTCCTATGGCCGTTGATTTTACCAATCTCTCAATATTTTTTGTTTATTTGGCAGGAAAAAGCAAAATCACAACTCTTACAATTGTTGCCATTGTTGTACCAATATCTGTATCTGTGCTACTTTTTGTTGTGGGTTACTGCTGGGTAAGCAGGAGAGCAAGAACCGAGTGGTTAAAAAGTTTTTCTTTCTTCACTTCTCCTCTTGTTTATTCTTGTTGATTCTCCTTTCATTAATTCTTCGTCTATAAACATAGTGCTTCTATGGTTTGGTTGGTTGTGCAGGTGAGAATGATATTACTACTGTCGAGTCGTTGCAATTTGATTTTGCTACCATCCAAGCAGCCACGAGCAATTTCTCCGATGATCACAAGTTAGGCGAAGGTGGTTTCGGTCAAGTTTACAAGGTATGTTAATCAGTATATGATATGTGTGCTCCTTTAGGTCTACAAAGTTCAATTTCTCTGCATGCAATATCCGAATAATTTTGGAGCCTCAGAGGCTGTCCATGAATGCCATGAGTGGACATTCCATTGTTTGATTGAGGTTTTCTTGCAGGGTATACTATCAGACAGTCAAGTAGCTGTAAAGAGGCTATCAAGGAACTCTGGCCAAGGCACAGAAGAGTTTAAGAACAAGATGGTATTGGAATTCAGCCCCAAATCCTCCCTCAAACCCTAATTTGTCAATTTCGCATGCTTCTCTCACAATTCAGAACATTGGAAGCATGGTTCCGATTAAGCTCAAGATGGCCAAGGCACAGAAAAATGTCTTATTTATATACAAATAATAATAAAACAATAACTTATATTAAAAGTGGTTTGGTTCGGTTTCTCCGGTTCTTAATATTTCCAAACCGGAACCGGAACCATTTGAAACGGTTCGGTTCGGTTTTTGTTTCGATTTTGCCTTTTTTGGTCAACGTGGTTTTTTACAATTTTTTTTGTTATTATTCGATTCGGTTTTCCAATTTAGCAGTTTTTATGCCCACCTCTAATAACGTGATTGACAAGACCCAAGTTTTCATGCCTATGGTTGGAAAAAGGTTCTTTTCTCTTTGTCCAAAAAATCAAAAAGAATTTTAATGAAAAACTCGCGGTACTATTCACTTTAACGAAAAATCATATTTTTACATAAAAAAATCAATTTTGATATTATTTATTTTATTCTTTATTTTATCCTTATCGTTAAAACTCAAAGTTTTCAAACTATTTTTCTTAGCTTTCTTATATCAAAAGGTTTCTCTCTCTGTATTGAATTTTCTTCCGTGTGTTATTACCGAACATTGCACGTTCCAACGTTCGGATTGTGCTTTGCACCTTCCGTCCTTTTTCTCAATCTGCTGACACAATCTAAAGTCAACAATCAATCAAATTTGATCATATGACCTAAACCATAGACAAGAACCATTAATTAGCTGGTCAATGACACCAACCAAGTCTGAACTGTTCTGCTCACCCCCTCTCCCACTTCCAGGAAGTCCCACAATGGATTCGCCCCTCTCGGCAATCCAAATCTTGCATCACTTCTGTATTTTTATTGAAAGAATCTATTTTCTTTTTTGACTAAAAACAGCAGTGGTAAGTTTATAAGTTGTTAAGGAGGGGAAAAATTGGTGGAGATAAAATACAGTGTCGTTATACTCACTCATACTATGTCCCATCTAGGGCTGGAAAAAAATCTCAAAAATCCCAAACCAAACCGAAAAAATCCCGATCCCAAACCAAAAAAATCCCAAACCAAAATTCCCGACATTTCGGTACTTATCCCGAACCAAAACCGAAATTTTCGGTATGGGATTCGGTATTGCAGTTCAATTTTTTCGGTATTCCCATACGATCGAATAATTTATATATATATTATTTTTTAATTCTCAAGAGAATTATTTCAACCGTTCATTGTTTTAGATTTAATCTGTGCCGTTCATTTGTTTTTAGGTTAGATCTCTCCCCCATTTCAGTTTTCACTTCCGTTTCCATACTTCCATCAGCGCAGCCGCTGTGCCACTCCCACTGCCAGTGCTGTGCCACCAGCCATCACCACCCAGCTTGCCTTCCTTCGAATCGTCTCTGACTCTCCAGCGGCTCAGCCTTCCTTCACAAATCAACACCCAGCTTGTTTGACTATGCTTTTGCGCGGGTTCGTTTTGTTTTGTACTTGCTGTCAACTGTGCACTTTTCTAGCTTGCAGTTGCTAATGTATTCACCGAATTGTAGTTACATTTTTTGAGTAGTTACAAATGAATTGATACAGTTTTATTTTACCTGTTTCTTCTTCAACAGCCTTTTATTTTCCTATTTAGGCATTGTTCTGTTGATTGCGAATCTCATACAAGATATGTGATTCTGAACTTGAGCTTTGCTGTGGCTGCTTTCAAATAATATTGGTTGGACTGGAGTTCTCAGAGCTCAGGTAATATTGGTTGGCTGCTTTCAAATAATATTGGTTGGACTTGAACTTTATTTATAAACCTTGGCTTGTAACTACTATTTTTACTTTTGAGTTTGTTACTTTATTTATTACTTTATAATATGTCAAATTTTAGCCCAAAAACATAATATGTCAAATTTTAGTCCAAAAGCCCAAAAGCATTTCGGGATTCCCGATTTGTCCCGAAATCCCGAAATTATTTCGGGATTCCCGAAAATTGGGATTCCCGAAAATTTGGTTTGGGATTGGGATTGAATTTGGGATTCCCAAAAATTTCGGTTTGGGAATCGGGACAATGGTTTTGGTATGGGATCCCATACCGAACCACCCCTAGTCCCATCATATGTCAGAATCATTATTGACTTGGAATATGAAACCTCCTAGTAGCTTTATTATAGTGGAAAGCGTGACAACATAGTTATGGAATTTTTTTCTTCAAAAATGGGCGTCACGTCGAAGTGTTGGAGTCCACATTGTCGAAATCCCACGTCAACGAAAGAAAGAAAGATAGAAATAAGAGTTTAAATATTTTAGTCTAGCTTCAATTAATATTAAGATTTTTTGTGATAAAATCACGTTATGTAAGTAGTAATTATCAAGTTGGAAACAATATTGGTGTTGTGTGCGCCTTTGGCTTGTCTCTTTGAAATTCTACATGGTATTAGAGAATAGGTTGGCCTACATGTGAAGTCCAACGGCCACATATTGGTGAATGGATAAATCTTGTAAGGGCTTATAAGAAGTTGGGTTACTCATATGAATGGCAACGGGATGGATTGGGTTCGGATATGTCATTCCCATACTTGAACCCGTTTATTTTTCCCGGATATGTCATCCCCATACTTGAATCCGTTTCTTTAGTTTTTCTTAATTTAATCCCTCTGTTATCCAAATCCGGTTGTATGAGAGGACCTCTTCGGCTGGACACTCAAAGACTGAAAGTCAAGCTACCACCCCTGCATTGCTTTTGATGATACTCAATATAAAAACCTATGATTTTATGATCAGTCATCAAAAAATGAAAAACATGACTACGCTTCTTTTGATTTTCTCCGTTTTTACTCTGCTCAGCTTTCCGACCAGTACGGAAGCTGATTACCTGGTTCACTACTGCCCAAACACCACTACCTTCACCCCAAACTCCACCTTCCAGTCCAACCTCAACCGCCTCCTCTCCACCCTCTCCTCCAACGCTAACCATTCCACCGGTTTCTACAACGCCACAGTCCAAACCACAAACAACGCCGTCTACGGCCTTTTCCTCTGCCGCGGCGACGTCGTGGGCACCCAAGCTTGCGAAACCTGTGTTGCCACCGCAATTTCCGAGGCCCCACAACGCTGCCCCGTAGAAAAGCAGGTGGTGATCGGTTACGACGACTGCATGCTACGCTACTCCAATGAGTCATTCTTCTCCACCGCCACCGAGTCGCCCCGCCTGTACATGTCGAACAATAAGAACGCCACCGACCCGACTCGGTTCAACCAGGTCCTGGCGGCCAGTATGAACGAGGTGGCTACCGAGGCTGCCAACGACGCCGACAAGTTCGCGACGAATCAAGCAAATGTTAGCGGGTTGATTTCGGTGTACAGCCTCGGGCAGTGCACGCAGGACCTGTCGGAAACGGATTGCAACGATTGTCTTCGGTTGGCCATAGCCCAACTTCCGAATTGCTGTAATGGGAAACTCGGAGGACGAGTTTTGTTTCCGAGTTGTCATATTAGGTACGAAGTCTACCCCTTCTACGCCCAGAACTCCACGTCAGCACCTGAGCCTGCACCAGGGCCGCCTCCTCCTCCTCTCCCTCCTCCGCCTAAAGGTGAAGTGACCATTTCTTCAATTCAAATTTAATTTTTAAAATCGACCACTTTAAACTGAAGAAAATATGAATACGTTGAAATTTTATTCGATCGATATTCTAATCTGATACGGAAAGGGGGTTCAAATTTGAGTGTAAAGGGTATAACCGTGACTGACGCTTCTGCTTATAAGCATTTTTGCTTGAAATGCTTTCATTAAAACTCTAATAAGTGCTTCTAGGCATGTACTTCTTTGAAAAGTGCTTCTATTATGTAGTTTTAAGTTTTTCTCCCAAATGCTGTCTGAAAAGCGGACTGTCACAAAACGTTTCTAACCTTTTTGGAAGCCCCAATCAAGTGATTATTGTATTATCAGAATAGTTTGTTAGGTAATTGATAGCTATTGTGGACTTTGGAACAGGGGAATATGGTGTTGTGCTGTGGCTGCTGATTTTACCCATTTCTCAATATTTTTTGTTTATTTTGCAGGAAAAAGCAAAACCCCAACTAGTACAATTGTTGCCATTGCTGTACCAATATCTGTATCTGTGCTACTTTTTGTTGTGGGTTACTGCTGCATAACTAGGAGAGCAAAATACAAGTACAATGAAGCAGCAGTGGACGAACCAAGCGGTGAAAAAATATATCCTTCTCCACTTCTCTTGTTTATTCTCATTGATTCTCCTTTCATTTATTCCACGTCTATAAACATTATGTTTCTATGGCTTGGTTGGTTGTGCAGGTGAGACTGACATTACTACAGTCGAGTCTTTGCAATTTGATTTTGCTACCATCCAAGCAGCCACGAGCAATTTCTCTGATGATCACAAGTTAGGCGAAGGTGGTTTTGGTCAAGTTTACAAGGTCTGTTAATCAGTATATGATATGAGTGCTCCTTCAGTCCTACAAAGTTCCAACTTTTATGCATGCAAAATCTGAATAGTTTTGGTGCCTCAGAAGCTGTCCATGAATGCCATGAGTGGACATTCCAGTGTTTGATTGATGTTTTCTCGCAGGGTATACTTTCAAACGGTCAAGAAGTAGCTGTGAAGAGGCTATCAATGAACTCTGACCAAGGCGTGGAAGAGTTTAAGAACGAGATGGTATTGGTAGCCAAGCTTCAACACCGAAATTTGGTTAGGCTCTTGGGATTTTGCTTGGAAGGCGAAGAAAAGATTCTTGTTTATGAATATGTGCCCAACAAAAGCCTTGACCATTTCCTATTTGGTTTGTACACTCAAACATCTGATTGTTTTTCCCTATTGCAATAGCAGTACTATATTTTTCGATGATAACTTGATTTTTATGGTTTGCAGACCCTGAGAAACAAGGACAATTGGATTGGTCAAGACGTTACAAGA